AGTGCTTCTTTTTCCAGCATCTGAATGATAATAAAAGTTATTTCCTTACCTACTTTTTTTAATATATATTTTGATTAGTGTCCAGTGTTCAGTTAGATCCTTTCTGCCTCTGTGTATCACTCATAGGAAGGTTGCATGGGTTATCTGAAAATGTTCATTTTATCCAAGCAGATGTTCTCTTAAAGCTCCACACCCATAGTGTCTCACTGGTGACTGCGTGCCTAGATATACTGCTAAAGACTCCTTCCTATCTCCTGGATGTCCGAAGTCTCCAGTTCTGTAGTTCCTCTCTTTACAGCTATCTTCAAGCATGTAAGTGAAAGGGAACTGAACACTGTATTTTGGAACAAACTGCATTTGGTCTCTGTATTGAGAGTTAATTTTTAAAAGATTAAGTCAATTATGCACTGCTGGTTTATGCACTTGAAAGGAACAAAAGGAACCTTATGAGGTTGAATAGTTTTTTATGATTGATAAAACATTTTTTAAGCTTAGTCATATGCCAGAGGACATTCTTGATATGCAATGTAAATGCTGAAAAAGGACACTATAATGTATGTCAATGGCAGCATACTTGGTTGAAAAAGTAGATAAGATTACATTAGTACAAGAACATACATACACTGTTGACTGTCAGTTTAAATCATGTGGTCTAACACCCTAATTTCTACAACTCAAATTTACAACCTGAACAGCTTTTGAAAAAGGTGGTTAAATGCACATGGATTGTCTGGTTCCAGTTTAGGTATATTTTACAAAAAATACCTTCTAAACATGTGTGAATGTTTCCTGAGGCATAATTATGGTATTCAGTTTTTAGAAAATCTATAGGCTGTCACTTTTTTTCATATTATTTTTTTAATTGAATACATAATAGATTACATTTTTTTAATTGGAATGCATTATTTAGGCATATGGGCTTTGTTCCATTCACATACTAAATATTTCAGGTTTTTTTCTCTATTTGAATGGAGAACATAATACTGACCTGATCATATGGCACTTTGTGGAAAGACTGGACTATCATCTTGACTGGAGGAAAAGATCAAAGATGCTGGAAAGGGAGAAAGATTGTTGTGGAGTAGTAATTGCCTGGAAACATGAGGCAATCTCTGTTACAGAGAAAGAAGACCATGAAGCAAGTGGCTTGGAGTAAGGGTTAAGCAGAGGAAAAGTTTGGTTTATTTCTAGTAATAGAAGTAGAATTGTATGAATTATTATTGTTGTTATTCCCTTGTGAATAAATTATTGTAGAGGTCAGGGTGTTTTATCCTTGAAAACAAGGACAAGACTTGGAAGCACAAAGAAATGTCAAGAAGACTGAACAGTTTCAGCTGAAAAAAAAATTACAAAGTCAGCAAAAGAGAAATAAAATGTTTCTTCTATAGCATAATGATTATGGTTCTTTCTTAACCGTCCTGGATTTACCTAGTAGCATAAGATGGACTCATGTCATACATTGTGTCCTGAGGATGGCTAATAAGTGTAAGCAAAGCAGAACTGTACTACTTTCCTTACTTTGTTTATTTAATATATCCAAAATTATTAATATATCCAAAGTTATTAGATTAGATTTTCATGTAACATAAATTCTCTCACAGAATCACAGAAAGGTTGAGCTTGGAAGGGACCTCTGGATGTCATCTTGCTGATCCAGCAGAGACAGCTAGAGCCACTTATCCAGGATCATGTCCAGACTGCTCTTCAATATCCCTTTTACTCTTACTAGACAGTACCGGAAAGAGCCTGGTTTCATTTTTTTTGCAGCCTCCCTTCAGGCCTTTTTACACATTGATGTAAAACCTCTGATTCTTCTATTCTACAGGCTGAACAGTCCTTGCTTACTCAGCCTACCCTCAGAGAGATACTTCCCTAATCCTAATCCCTAATCCCTAGTCCCCTAACCATCTTCATGGCCCTTTGCTGGACTCTGTCCAGTATGTGCAGCTCTCACTTGTACTGGGAGCTCAGAACTGGACATAGTACTCCAGGTGAAGTATCAGCTTCTTCATTCTGCTGGAAAAACTCCCAAAGCAGTTCAGGACACCACTAGTGTCAAAGGCACATTGTTGGTTTATGATCAACTTGGTGCCCTCCAGGATCTTGGAGCCTTTGTCTGCAAAGCTGGTTTAGAGCTGGACATATGTCAGTACCTGGGGTGGTCCCTCCTCAGGGGGAGGACTTTGTTGAACTTTTTGGGCTCTTACCTTGGCAGGGTGTAACCTGGAGTGATGTAGAGAGCAATATAAGTTGTGACTCTTAGATTGGAGGGATCTGGGCGCTGCCATAGCGAGGCTGCACCAGGAAATGCATGCTGATAGGAGAGCAGAGCCATGGGATGTGAGGGTGAAGAACATGGTGAGAAGGAGTATAGATGTGGAATGATAAGCACTGGGGCACAGGCTGGCCCTGAAGACCCCTGGCTGGAAACATCTGCCTGTGACCAGCTGCAATGAAGCTGTTGTTCCCTTAGTACCTGTACATGTAGAAGGACCCCTCAGTGTTAACATCCCACTTCTCCTGGCCAGGCACTGCATTGCCACACCCCCTCCCTCATCACACTGAGTCCATAAGGGCCAGCAAAACATGAAGAAACAGACGGTGTGCACTAGGAACAGAGGGAGAAAGTACAGATGGGGATATCAGTGACATTGTTAGCAATACTAAGACTGTATTTTTTATGCTTTTAATTTCATTCATAGATTACTAAGAGCCTTCTGACTGACTTGTGAGCTAGCACATACATCACCTGCTGGCCCAGCCCCATTTTCATCATTGCCTGAGTCATTCTTCCAGTGGTGCTGGAGGCGTGGCCTCTTGCAGGGCTAGAAAGAGTCCTGGGAACTGTGGGCCCTCCTTTTTGGGGTTTGCTGTGGTCCCCCAGGTGAGCAGTCTCTGTCCCAGCTGGAGTGAAGGGACCTGCCATAGCCTGCCCTGGATCTCACGTGGCAATTCCTGCTCCCCATAGGTAGGAACCAGAGCATCAAGGGGACTGCTGGACCTCCATGAAGAGCCATGGTTGAGGTGCTGGGGCACTCCTCTTCAACTCCAGAAAGACTGCTGGAGTGGGCTGGACCAGACTTGAGAGACCCACTTCATAAAGCAACAGGATGGGTGACATGCAAGGAATTGCCCTTCTGCTCCTCAGCAGCTTGGCCATGCTTCCAGCAGATGGTAGGCTTTCCTGATGCACTGTTGCAGAGCAACATCAATTAGATTTTGTATAAACTTTGCCCTGTGGTTTTTGAGGCTGAACTACAGCTACCAGATCAAGAAATTTCTGTTCAGCCCAAAGCAGCATACAGTGAGCATTACAAAGTCTTCCATTACAAGTGCCTGCAAATGCCAGTTCCCAAAGGTCAGTCTCAGTTTCTGATGTCCTCCAGGGACTGGAGGAGAGCTGGGTGGTGACAAAAGAGTCATGTCCAAGTGTGTGGCTAGAGGCCACCAGGAGGAGCCCTGGCCAGCTCTCCGCAGGCGCTCACACTGCTGCTGCAGGTCTGTGGGCAGCTGGATGGTCAGGAGCTCCTCCTACCTGGTGGCCAGTGACTGATGACACTGTAGATGGTATAACATCATGTTCCTCGAAGTTGTGGTCCAATAATCAGTTTGCATAGAAAGTGAGGAACTTGTCTCCAGGGTAGGGAGAAATTATCTGTAAAAAGGTACCCCCAGAAAGCCCAGGTGCATGTGTGCCCTCTGACCCTAGACTTCCCATCAGCTGGATTGATGCTGGAGCCAGGACCCATGATCTCTCTTTCTCACTCCCACTTCTTTAATCTCGCTCTCTCTTCCCTTTCACCCTATCCCTTTATCCAAACTCCACTGCCCTGTACTTATACCAGGAAATCAGGGACTAATTTATACCAATTTCCATGCCAAGTGTGTAATTTACGAATAAAACTTTGTAGCCTTTGCAGACCATTTGACTCTTGTCTCTTCTACAGATTCCTATGAATCTTGAGTGCTCCCTTCCCATTAAGGGTGGCATGCCACACCCACTGACAGTGCCAGAGTGGGCAGCTTCCAGGCTATGTACCAATAAATCTGGTATTAGACTGTTAACAAGACAGAGCTCTCCTCAATCTTCTCTTCATCCCTAAATCTCGTCATGCCTCTCTGAGCTGCTGGAGAAGAGCATGAAGTAAGTTTCCCAGGATTTTGTGAGAAATTAGGGGCAGAAAAAGAGGAACTGAATAGTAGGTAGAAAATTAAAATGCAAAAATTTTTCTAAGCCTTCATCATGGAGTTTTGTCTTCACAGCTTTAGCTGGGAGTTTCAGCCAGGTCAAAACCAGTCACTGAAGTGGGCTCCTGCAGTTTTGCAAGAAGCTGATTCAATATGCATGAAACATCGCAATGCAAAACACAGAGAACAGGTAAAGAGAAGGAAGTAAGAAAGAGTAAAATGTTGTTAACATAGAGAAAAGCAACATGAGAAACAGTATTTTAAATGTGGCCTAAAACAGGAATCCCATGTTGATAAACATTTGACTGATTACATTTCTGAGGCTGAAAATGTTCATATATATCTATATATAGATATATGTCACAGGGTTTTTTGATTTTCAGTAGAGGTAAGAGATTTGTAAAAAAATCTAGCCCAGACTGATTTTTGCAAGCAGCTAATGCAGGTCCTGCTACATTATATGAGTAGAGCAGTTTTCTGTTGGAAAACAGTTAATTCAGGTCAAATTCAATGAGTATATACTGCTGTCTTGAACACATGGATAAAATAGGTGGGCAGCAAGGCAGCCAATTAGTTGGGGCTGTGGTTTGCCCTACAGACAAATATTATGTATTTGATTTCAAACAGTTAAAACTGATAATGCTTTGGGTATTTTAAACACAGCATGCAGTAAAACACTTCCTACTCTTGCATCAAGAGTGGATGTAATGCTGACAACTAACACAGCTCTCCTGTATACAGCAGACTCAAAACTAGTTTCTCCCACTTGGCAGAAGAGAAGCTTTAGCAGTCTCCCTTCCTTCATCTGCTTTCAGGCATTTCAGGTTGGACAGAAATCTGCTTTAGATAGCATCTTCCAGCAATGCTAAGACTTCTGCTCTAGGACTGCAGCTCCCTTGGCCTGCAAATCATTGGGTGGCCTCTCGTTTCCTCCTCAGGTGGGTGTTGCACTGGAAAAATGGGTCTCATTATGCATCCCATGGAAACAGATGAGACAAGGTGTCAAGAAGAGCCCATCTGTTTGGTTTTGGTTTGTTTTGGTTTTAATATTTAATCTTGTCAGTAAAGAAGTTTAAATTCTTCATTCCTTTAAAATTTATATTGCTGTGAAAAACTCTGATTACACAGCTGGTTACAAAAATTTTTCTTCTAAGTATAAAATAAAGTAGTAGATGGTCTTTTCACTCACACTAGGTTCCATACATGTGTAGATCTCATGCATGAAGTACTACGTACTGTTGCTGCCCCTGAGTGAAATAATCCAGCTTTTCAACTAAGAGGTGTAAGGATACATCAATACTGTGTTATTATCATCATCAGGAACATATCCAGTTTGAAGCACAGTCACCTGAAAAGTTGGAATTAATTTTGAGTACTTTGTTCCCTGAAGTCTCATTCCAATTTTTTTTCCCATTTTTTCGACTCCATTTTAGAAAACCTTGAAACTGCGTTTGAATGGTTTTCAAATCAATCCATATTTTTAAAATGTGGAATGCCACTAGTCTGTTTTGGCAGCGCAAAAAAAAATAAATTATAGCTTGGTCAAAACCTTGTACAGGGTAGCTGATATGTTCCGTAACAGCTTCTCCTTTAGCAAAGCTTGCATGCAGTGCCTAACCTCCAGCACTTGGGGGTGTCTTCTGACAAAAGAATATGTCTCCGACTTGCTACAGCACGGCTAACAGGTACCAGCAGCAGCTCTCTCTGGTAAAGATCATCGATGTCATATGGGAAGTTCTTCTGACTCTATCAAGTCCTTGGGTAGGCTAAATCTGTCTTCTTGTTTCCAAAATAGATTGGTCAGTGACAAATCTTTTCTCTTCAGTGCCTGTGTGAGGATGTATCTCTATGATCAGCAGGGGATGTCACAGGCTTTCTCAACATGCTGCTCTTTCCTTCAGAAAGACTGACAGCAATATTCCTGGTTGGCATGTGGTAATTTCATCCAACGCCAGCTATCTGAGGGAAGTTTGCTATGTACGTGTCTCCTATAAAAATGCACAAGCACATACTAGGCACAATCTTCTTTGTGGATGGTCCCATCTTTATGCAGTTTCCCAGTTCTGCATCTTTCTTTGCTCTAGAACAGGTCATCCAGTGCAGACTGCAGTGATGCAAATTCAAATGAACTTTGTTGCTACGGCAGCGTGCTCACACCTGTATATTAATCTTGTGCCACAAGTCATGCCTCTCTTTAGGCAAGAAGGATGAGCTCTGCAGGAGATTAAATTCTGGCACAATGTCTTTAGATGACCAGAAGCTAACACAAGGCTTTTCTAAGCAGTGTCTTCACAGTTAAGTTGGGGTACTGCGCAAGACAAACATGCAATGAGTAGCATTTACATCAATCTTGTAGCTTGAATCCACTTTACAATTAGTGTAAACTGTCTTCTGAAGCTCCTGCCTACGCCCAACAAGTGTAGATTGTCTGGAGTGCAAACAAAATGATCTCTTGTATCGGCTTTTTCTTACGTCCTTACACTGTGTAAACTCTTACAAAGTTTGTTGAACTTGTGAAATATGCAAAGGACCTGTTGCAAAAAAATCTTGATTTGCTCAGAAAGAGGAAAATCTGCCCTGCCTGCATCAGTGTCAGAGAGGATAAAAAGGTACCATTTAACATTAGCGTAGGTCCATATAGCAAACAGGATAGGGCATGTAGCACATATCCTCACTGACATATAAAGTGTAAGTTTTTCTTTTCTCCTTGTGCCCAGAGATAAATAAGAAACAATAAAAAAATCTGCACTCTAGTACACATCTAGATGTACACAGGGAAAAGAAAGACTGTAGAACCATCACTGAATTCTGGTGTTCAGTTCTTCAGTTTCCCAGCAATGTTTCACAGAGCAGTCCTCATCTCCAGGACAGGTGGGATGATCATAATAGCTGAACACCTATTCCCCAGTAACTGCTACATCCCACGGTACCTACACGGGCAAACAAGCAGTTTTGCAAAGCAATTAATTCATTATTGAGCTCAAAGTTAAGGTTTTCCTCTGGGCCCTGGCTCTTTCTGTTGCTCATTTTCAGAGTTCCACAGTATCTTGAAGCCTAGCTGTCTGAGAGGTATTTAATCCTGTCCTCAAAGCCCATGAAGGCTCCTCTGCATACCTGTGGATTTGTCTTCATTAGATAGTTCTGTGACACAAGCTGCTGCCCCCACAGTTTGCTTAGTGCTTCTTATAAGACTGATATAATGAGGTGCTTGTTCAAGAGAAGCAAACCCTCAGGAAAAGATGATTAGGCAGAAATGGAACTTCCTCCCAGCCACAAACCAACTGTAAACAAATAACTTCAACATTTGCCTTCATATATGTTAGTAATTTAAACAAGCTAGGAAACATTCCTTCTCTTTCTCTGATAAGGCAAATTCTTTTTAATTTTTGCATTACTTCAAATTAATGTTTCCTCTATTTCACACATACTAGGTGTATTTTCTGTAAGAGATTATCAGATTGTAGGTGTCTGCTTAAATTCTGGGTAATTTTCTCAGTTGATATTTTGCTCTGGTTTTATATGAGGTGTTACCTCTGTCCCTTATTTTTGTCTCTGTCTTTAGATGTCATGTCCACACCAGCTTTTATACTGTTTAAAAATAGACTCACATTTATATTTCAAATAAAGTTTTAAGTCCTTAATTCAGTCCTTCACAGAACATTGTCTTGAATATGTGTTCTTCCCAATGCACTCAGATTTTTGATAGAGTGATATCTTTATTTGCCAATGTATTGAAAAAGCCAACGTTTTCAAACTTGTAAAAGATCTAAATTACCACAGTCAGCAAGGAAGGGTGTGGGGAAAAAAAAATAAGGAAAATTTGTTATTATAAGATAGCAAGATAAAACATAAACCCATAAGTACACAGAAACTTTCTGTTATTTCAAGCTTATGCTCAGAAACCCAGTTTTACCATGAAGCCAATAACCCCAATCTGAAGTTCAATGATAATAAAAAAATCTTACCATTATTTTGTAGTAAAGCAGAAATCAAAAGGAATTTGCCTTTTCAGAGAATAAGGAGGAATGTGTTTCATCAGCACTCTCTAGAAGTCTAAGGTAAACAACTCAAGGTTTTGTCACAACTAACGTAGTACAGTGTATTTTAAAAAAATGTCTACATTAGTTTTAGGCAGTAAAGCAGTTGCTGAGAAGTTTTCTCAGATGAGCAGCATCTTTTTCAGGACTTCACTTATACTGAAACTCATCAGGATGATAAAAAATCAGGTTTGTGCTACTAGGCACAGGACAATGTATGATCAAGAGCTCAAGAACATGTTATTTTCCACAGTCATTGACCCAATTGAAAACTATGGTATTCATAGCAGGTTTTAAATTATGAATGATAGAAAATAAAAACCTCATTTTATATTCTATTACTACTTCATGCCTCCATGGCCTCCCAGCATGGCCTGTCCTGTAACAGCTCCTACTGCATTTCCAGGAATGTCAGTGGTGAACTCAATGGATCCATACTTCGTGGGGGGTTTTGTGATGCATGTGATGGAATAGAGACATAGGAAAACTTGACTTGAAGGACATAAAATATCTATGCCATGGAGATAACTGTCAGACTTTAGCAAAATTGTCTGAATTCAATATAGTGATTCCCAGAAAAAACAACTTGTGATACATTTAATGGTAAAATAAAAGACAGGAACACTGCATACCTGTTAGTATGGAAAGGACAGAACTAAGTAGATAATGCTGCTATTCTTCTTCATTTGTTCTTCTTTTATTTTATGAGTATATGACAGGTCTTCTGTGGCTAAAAAAGGATCAGGGGCAAGGTCTGATGCCCAGACCTTCCCATGAAAAGAAGAATATAATATAATATAATATAATTTGAGATATAGGAGTAATTATTGGTAGACACATTTAAACCAGTCTTCCAAAGTAAGTATGTCTTTTGCATGAGTAGTATAACTTTTCATGAGACAAGACTGAAATACAGAATGTCTTGAGCATAGGAACATGTCTTTGGGGAAAAAAGAAAAACCTCAGCCCCTTTTAGAAGGTCAGAAAAGCCATAAGAAAACCAGCTATGAAAGGCAGTCCAGAATGGTCAACAAGGTCTCGAAGTGACTTGCCTAAAATCAAGCTGAAAACCTAATCCCCCCAGATAACTGGATTTGGCTAATAGAAGATTTCCTGAATCTCTCTAGGCTTGGGAACTGGCAGATTCACTGAAGCCACCATGCACCCACACTGCCAAGATGTTGCCTTTGGAGGCCCAAAGGACAAGGAATGCAGCAGCACTGTGTTGCTTCTGTTGTGGTTCTCTGGAACCCAGAACTCAGATAGGAAACAGAAGTACTTAGCAACTTGTTCATAAGGAAAAAAAGCAACCAGCTGTAAAATGAGACAACTGATAAAAGCCAAGTTAGACATTGGGAAGCTGTGGAGAGGCCCAAGTATCTGTCCTGCACAGAAGCTAAGTTATTTTTCAAAATTATTGTAGGCATTTATCTATTCCCCTTTAAAAAGACTCTAGATTTTTAAAACAAAATTCTTAAGAAAAATGTAGAAGCTGAAACAAGGAAGAGACTGAAACCTTTCTTAGTTAACCTGTGTAAGAGGAATGGCAAATTACTATGGCACATGTCAGGATCTGCAGTAAGTCAGAATTGTTGCGACCAAGCTGTCCCATGGGGTGCACTGCCCAGCAGTGAGGCATGGCTCCTGATGCAACCAAGATGAAGCAAATGCAGGATCTAGTCCCACCTGAAAATCCAGGCTCTCAGGAGTGATGAAGAAAAGCCAGACCACACAAAAAAACCCAAACCAACAACCAAAAAAACCACCCAAAAGACCAAACCAAACCAAAGACAAACAAAACCAACCAACCAAACCAAACCAAACCAAACCAAACCAAACCAAACCAAACCAAACCAAACCAAACCAAACCAAACCAAACCAAACAAACAAAAACAAAATAATAATAAGGAAGAATTCTGTATGACAAAACAAGCGTGGTCAGTGCAGGTAGATACTCTGTGCTGGAAAACATTCTGGGCCAAGAAGTTGCTGTTTCCCTGATGTGTGAGCAGGAATGTATTTCAAATTGCATCAGCTAGAGCTTTGCTCTGACACAGAAAAAATGTCTGTGCTAACACTAATACACGCAGATGAGAAACTGCCTGTATTCTTCTCTTTCTTGTCATAAGTATTTAGAAAAGAGAGAAAGCATTGTGTGCACACAGCATGATCGGTTAGTCTTGAGAAATGCTATTGTTCTCTCAAGTCCGAGAGTGTTTAGAGAACTGTGTTTGTATTTGTACACCCTTTGTACCCAGGCAACATTTCCTGCTTTTGCAATGCACCGAAAGTATGAGGAAGCATTGGGAACATTGCACACATTACCTCCAAACTCATGAGAATTTCTATGCTGAAAAGGTGAGAGGGCAAAGGATGGATAAACTTGAAAACTGTGATCTCAAAAGAAGTTATTTTTTCACAGAAAATGTTACCAATAATTTGGGAACCGAACGTATTGAAATGAAAGATAGATATCTACCCTTCTCCTTCCCACTCCTTACTTACTCCCCATCCAGAAAAAAGGTGGGACAGTGTCCCAGAACTCGCCCAGGAAGTCAGAGAAGGGTCATGCACAGCACCACATTGCACAGAGGTTTTTCTTGTCTCCAGGCTCTTTTATTCCTCTACTAATCAGCAACGTGGAAAGTGGGAGAGGAGAAGTCACTACTGCAGCAATAAAAATTCATCAAACAAACCACTGATCATGGTAGAAAGCTGCTAAAGAGAGAGGTACGTAAAGGAAAATATTGGCATATGTCTGTGTTAAAGACCACGGTATGTTTCTGAGAAGAAAGCTGAAAAGGATGAAGGTTGTTTGACGGCATGTGTGGAAGGGATTGCTCGCTCACCAGCGCGGCAATGCCCTGAAGGACTGCAGAGCCTCCCGGAGCTCCGGTGCACACCAGAACAGCCAGAGCACCACCCGAAGAGCAGCTCCCGATAGTACAGCGCAGCAGGCACAAATGAGGCTTCTGTGCTCTTTTCCTGTCACTTTATTTTTATGTCCAACCACGGAGCTCTCAGTTTGAAACTAAAATAGATGATCTCATTGATGTTAGCCACGCAAGTTTTAAGAACGTGAGTTGCAACTTTGTGGTTGCTTGTAAAACTGCAACCCTTGGCTTTCCAGGGTTTGTTCCCTCTTCCAACCTAATGCCTTTTCTTTAAGTTAAAGAATGTCCCTTGAAATTTTTCTTCCTTAAGAGAATTAACAACTTCACCCAAACCTAATTATTTTATAGATTTCCAGTCTTAAACAGAGTACTCCTCTGAAAGCCAATTCTGAAATCAGTACATTTTTTTTTGTTGTTGTTGCCTCCAGGTATGTCAGCAAACTTAATGTGCTGGGAACAGAGGTATGCGCTCCTAGAACCTGAGGATCTTGTCTCTGCCCCAGCTGACCCCCAGGGAGGACAAGGAGCAAAGCCACCTAAATACCAGTTCAACACAAAAGAAACTCGAGTACAGGTTTGTCCTCTTTATGCAGTGATTCCTATTCCACATAAAAACAATAAATCAACTAAATTAGCTGGTATTATAATATTTGCCCTCAAAATATGGATTTTAATATGTCATTGACCTATGGCATGCTGGGCGTTACTCAGCACTGAGATGTCAAAGCTCTTCATAGACTAATGGGCACAGCCAGCTGCATACAGAACACAGTAGAAACACCACCACTGCTTCTCCCTTTAGTTAATGTCAGTAATGTGCTCTTACACAGAACTGTTACTGTGTGGCAGGAATAGGAGACATCCTAAGACGTTCCTTACACATTATCATAAGGTTTGGAAATTTCTTGTTTTCAGGTCACGTAGAAAACACATAAGGTATTGGGGTTGGAACTGAATGACCTCTGAGGTTCCTCACAACCTAAACTCGTCTATGATTCTATGGAGAGACATAGTAGACATATAACTGAAATAAAATAAGTCATTCAGGTACTTCTGCCAGTTAATGTATTTACTTTGCCTTGTACACTTCATCTGAATGGAAAGATTGTCTAGAAAATACTGTCGATTTCCAGGAAAAATGCCAGGAAGCCTGTTTGGATGACCATGGAGCTTTTGGTCAAACTCAAACACAAAAAGGAAGCATACAGAAAGTGGAAACAAGGACAGATTACCTTGGAGGAATACAGAAATCCTGTCCAAACATCCAAGGAGGTAATTAGGAAAGCAAAAACCAAATAGAGTTTAACGTAGGAAGCACGTCAAAGACAAGAAGGTTAAGCACATGTAAGAGTACCTAGGTGACAAAAAGAAGACTAGGGGAAATGTGGGCCTATTACTCAGTGACCATGGTTAGGGTTAAGGGACCTGCTTATGCAGCACATGGAAGAGGTTGAAGTACTGAATGCCACTTAGTCTTTACTAGCCAGGATGGCCTTCAGAGATCCCAGCTCTCAGAGACCGTGGGGAAAGTCCAGAGCAAGCAATATGTACCCTTGCTGGAAGAGAATCACATCAGGTAATACTTAAATAAATTGAATTTACATAAGTCATGTGCCATGATCCAGAAGCACCCACAAGTGCTGAGGTAACTGGCAGATGACATTGTGACGCCACTCTCAACAATCTCTGATCATGGCAACTAGAAATGCCTGATGACTGATAACTGGGTCTGTTCAGCCCAGACAAAAGAAAGCTGAAGGGGAATATCATCAGTCTATATAACACAAATATATAACAAGGGTACAAAGAAGATAGAGCCAGGCTCTTTTCAGTGATGCTTAGTGACAGGCCAAGATGTAATGACACAGATGAAATGCAGAAGGGTCCCTCTAAACATCAGAAAACACTTTTACACTGTGAGTGTGACTAAGCACTAGCACAGATTAGTCAGGGAGGGTATGAAGTCTCCATCCTTGGAGATATTCAAAAGCCATCTGGACACGATCCAGAGCAACAGTCTCTAGGTGGCCATGCTTGGGCACCCATGTTGGTTGGACCAGATGACCTCAAGAGATCCCTTCTGGTATCAACCAGTATATCTTTTCTGTGATTTTATGATTCTGTGAAATGCAATGCATAGGTTTGTATCTCCTCCCGACCTATTTAGGAGTTTTGGATACAAAACAAGATAGGACTCATTGTTCTCATAAGGCTGTGCTTCCCATCCAGCCTAGAAAGGCAGAAGAGACTTTTTTCAGGTTCTATTGGTACTTCTGCTTCTCAGCTAAAACAAGAAAGTACACCAAGTGATCTGACTGATAACAGAAAGTCAAAATTAAAAAATAAAGGGAAACATTAGCACATCAATGCAGTTCTAAATAATACTAGGCTCAAATTCATATGCATTTGTGTCTTAACCAAAGCAGCCCTCAATTCCCAGTCCTGAATTGCCTGAGCCATGAAGACACACTGAGAAAACTGATGAAGCTGGTGGCATCATGTGTAGCTTTTTGAAGCTGATATGGGGACTTCAGTGGTTTGCACTCTACAAAGTATAAATACATTTGTATATTACCAGGACATTTGCAATTGTAAACTGTACATAGGAATAAATTATTAAATAAGAAACACTGTTGAGCTAATGAGGGTTAATGACAGTATAATATCTCATATTAATTTCATAGCAGTTATAAGCTTAAAGAATGGTCTGAACATTTTACAGGAGAAAGGCTGGCTACTTTACCACATGACCCTTGTGAGTCCCTTCAGCTCAGAATATTCTGTAACTTCTGTCTGCTGAGCTATTGTGTTCACAAAATATTAGCACTTAATGCTCTTACTAGCACAAATGCATTCATTAGCACAATGACAAATGCAATATGTTTAAAATAGTGCCAAACAAGGGAGAATTTAATCAACAAGCAGAAATCGGACGACTACCTTTGTATTCACAGATTTGTTTAGGAAAAAGCAGGTAATATTCCTTACTCTACATACAGCTTTCATGAAGCAAAATTTATTTGTAACATATTATCAAATATATTTCCTTATTTTTCCTTGTTTTACTTATTCAGATTAGATGTAACAAGTATAAAATTCTTCTCTAGATAAGATATCACAGAAATCATTAAGATCAGCAAGCTCCTTAGGCATATCTTTTTAGGCTACATTAATATTCTAGTGTGAAGTGACGTCAATTAAATTCCATTTTTATTTGGTCTGTGTGATTAGCTATGACATAAGGACTCAGTAGGAAATGTAGAAAAACTTAATTTTCACCTCTGTGTACAGCGTTTTACTCTTTTGTTAAGCGCTCAACACTGGTTGTTGTTTCTGTAAAACTCAATAGCAGCATGTATGTTATTTAAACATCTTGGGTTTTGAAAAAATCACTGAGCTCTTCAGTCGTATCTTTTAAAATAGTTCGCATTTGTGATGAACAACTGGTGTTTCGAAAAAGGAAATGAAAAATCCTCCACAAACTAATTGGAATCATTCCCTTTTGTCCATGTTTTCTCTGTGTCCTGCCCTCCCCAGATTTGAACTACATCTTAAATACAGAAGCAGCATCACGCTGAGGAGGGAATTGTTTTTCAGGGAACCCTTCCTTCCAAAGGTGGTAAGCAAACCTACAAAATAAACATATTAGCAAAATGCTATATTTTAAATTATAAACTACAGAGTCATCCTTTGTGACATTTTAATAGATATTATTAATATGTAGTGCTTTCTTCACACTACTGATATTTTAAATGCAACACCTAAGAAAAGAGAGTAATAGAAATATTTATCACACTTCCTAAAAGTATCCTGCTTTTTGCTCCAAGATCTCAAGCTGTGATGAAACAGAAGGTCAATGCAGGCAGTAGATGGATTATTTCCTGAAATTGCCACAATGCCCAAAGAAAGAGGGGTATGGGCCATTCCTCCTAAACTACCCATGCCACAGGGACAGCCATCCTGCAGCCCTCACAGCCAGGCAGGTAGGCAACAGCTCCAGCTCATCTTCAGTGCTCCTTGGATACTTCTGCTCATCCAGCCCAGCTAAATGCTGCACTGGCTATGAACCTCCCACACTCCCTTTAACTGTCTGTGAGAAGTAATTTTCTTGTGTTAATTGACAAAAGATTTACTATTTGTCTGACTAGGAGGACAAAAGGGGAAATAACAACCTACTCTGACCCAGTGGTGGTTAGAAGCATCCTGAAACTCAATCAGTCATCATTAGGAAAGGAGATCGACAGTAAGCTCAAACAAAGTTTCAGTTTTGTTTGTTCTAAAGCCAGTGAAATAATTCATTTTTCCCATCATTTCAGAATTTGAGTGCAATCTAGAGAATGCTAAATAAACTGGCAAGCATAGGATTCAGAGCTACTGCTGAAGTTTAATCATATTCACATGTGAATTCACTGGAACCTGATGAGTTACCATCATATGTCTGCTTGTTTATTTTATTCATCCTTTTCCATATTCACAGCTTTGTCAGAGATTTATAAAAGTTACACAGTTCCTATTTTACCTCTGTTCATACAATTAAAAAGAAACTGTGAAAAAAAAGTTCGCCAGTTTCCTTTCCTTCCTTGAGAAGTTCTTGAAAACCTATCTGTTCTGGGACACGCTCCACCTGCGAGGCAGATGCCTCCCTGGCTTGTGCTTTATTTGCTTGTGTGCCTTAAACTGGATATTCTTTTGGTAGCAGGTCTGCTAAGCACCTGGTATGCTGCCTTCGTTGGAGGCGGCTGTATTTACGCTTATAGCACTACTAGTTCTGTATTGTTCTGTGTTGGAAAGAAAGGAACATGCTGTTAAACTGTCAGCTTGCTCCACCGTGCTTCTTGTAATATGACTTTGCAGCAATGATTCTCCTGCAATGACATTAGTGACGACAGCAGTCGCGACACCAGTGGTGATAATGAAAGTATCTGAGGTTAATTTTTAATTTTTTTTTCTATAACAGAAAGCAGCAGGAATTAATTAAGCAGTTTCTTATGAAGCAGTTTCTGTTCCAGTTATCTGCACAGTTTACTTAGGCAGGGTAATGGTGTAACTGCACTGCTTTGCTCAACACCTGAGGCAGCTTAGTGATTAGGAAATAGGGAGAAAAGTCAAGGAACTTGTCAAGGGACTAGGTTTTGTGCTTGTCAGAGTGAAAGAGAAAAAACCTACAGGTTTTCATGGAGAAGGATAAAGCCTGTGGAATTCAATGCACAATTCTGAAACAAATTGATTAATAATAGACATTCAGTTGTTTCTTCTCATACATCCCTGCTTTTTATACATCAGAATTATTATCAGCAGTATAACAGGGGAAAATGTCAAGGTTTTTACTTTGATGGTGTTGGATTTTTTTTTACATCATTAGCACTTGTTACCATAATCTGTATGGTACTGCCATAGTTTGCTTATAGCTTTGATCATGGCATCATCTAATGAAACATTAGATTGGATTGTTTCCTGTGACTATGTTTCATTTTCCATAGGAAAATGAAAAGCCAACCTGAGATGGTAAAAGTGTCTTAACAGAGATAATATCCAATATTTAATAAAATAAGTAATTAAATACAGTATTTTAAATAATAGAACAATTCTGCATCAAAGGGTGAAGCAGATTCCTGTGGGATGTAGCCAAAGCGTATATTCTACATCTGGAAATGGGTAAAGAATATCATTAGCTGTTTACGAGACAGATCAGAATCATGACACTGAGGCTCTTGGTGACCACCCAGTTGCTGATAGCATTGTGGTACTCCACACCTTGCTACAACTCTGCAGATACCACTCTACTACCACTTTGTACAGTGTCTCATAAGACAGAAGTGCTTGGAGTGTTTTGCTTAGGCTATGAATCCCAGAAGAGCATCTGTTCTGCTTGCGGATCAACAGTGCACACCACGCAGAATTTCCTCTACAGTTTATTCCTACAATTTATTGAACAAACCTCATTCTTGAACATTCATGGGTAAATAAAAAGGGTAAATCTCATTTCAGGCACCCAAGCACTGCAAAATGAAATCAGTTACTGCTCTGAAAATTTCTGCTCTTCTCTCTCATAACCAGCCACACAACCAATACGAGTAGAAGATTCACACCCAGTAACATGAGTGGTTTCCATGAGCTAAGGGGAGAGCTGCTCACAAGAGTAGTGCCAAGGCAACTGGAAGTCTGACGCTACCTTATAAACACAGGAGATGGGACAGAAAGGGAGGCAGCCATGACAGGACTCTGCAGAGGAGCAGGAGCACCAGCAGCACCTTGGAACATCTGTGCAGGGCCATGACACTTGCAGCCATGCATCTAATGGTCTCACTGTACATGGGCCTCTGATTTAGACAAAACTAAAGAATCCCTGTCTTCAGAACCCAGCTGTTGTTTGGGGCCTATGGTAATAATTGTGCTGTGTTTTGACTTTAAACCAGATTTTTAAGGAGTGCATTTAGAAATTTAGAAGTTCACACCTTAACACACAGAATTTAGCTGGATGGCCTCTTAAGAAGTCCCCCTGTGTTCAGGTAACCAGACTACATGAGTTTTATTTCAGAAATGATCCCTCCAAACATATTAATACTTAAAAATTATTCGAAGCTATGCCATTCTACCACTCTACACTTTACTATCATAGCCTTTGCTAATAAGTTGTACCTGATGACTGGGATAATAGTATTTTAGCTGCTTTTCCAGAAGACATTATGTTTTTGCTTATACTGAGAGTAAGGTGGATTTTTCCTCTGCTCATTTCCCGGATGTGCTTACTTTCTGTCTCAGGAAAATTATGCTCTCCTGTCTGCAAAGCTTTGCTCTGCCAGTAAAGCTGCTACTCTCATTTGCAACATTCAGGACCCAACTTATTAATATTTGAGAATTGTGAGATTTACTAGAAAATGTGTTTAACAAGGCATTTCAGGAACACTATGTGCTCTATGCCAATTAAACTTGCTGAAGTTTCTCTAGGTGCTCCCATGCACCTATGCAAAGAAGGGTTTAAAGGCCACCTCAGTCGAATGGGTATTCTTCATAGTCTTCTTACATGCAGCTTATGACTCCACAAGAACGAATTGAGAAGAAAAGAAGACACAAGTAACATCTCAGGGTTGTTTCCTTGGATACCAAAATACCCTGATTTATAAGCTGTATCACTAAAATCATGATAATTTTAGTTGCTTTTTACCCCTTTTACATGCTTCTCTGAATTATGAACCTGAGATTATGTGTTTATCTCAATGTGTAGCTGTGAAATATTATAACTAAAAGGAAATCAATTTGAGATTAGTTCATTTTGTTTATACTGGTAAGCAGAAGGGAAAAAAAGTTTTTGAGGTCCTCTCCTCTGATGTGACATACAACCTCCCTTTACTTTACTGGGAGTGCCACGAGTTTATCAAACCATAAAATCTGACCTTTGCCTTTATGAAGAATCGATCTTGAAATCCTTTGTTAGGCCTTGTATACATGTTCTCCCCTGGAGAGTGTGTATGATACTGTAAAATAGTGTTTTACACATCTGCAAACAGGACACACCACTGCAAACGTGCTCACCACAATGAACACCTGCCTCCTAGTAACAACCCATTGAGCATCCAGGAAAAAAAAAAAAAAAGAAAAAAAATCACATGATATTATGGAGAAACATTTCCCACTTTTTTCAAACAATTTAGCAAAAAAAATAGTTTTTTAAACTTAAACGTTTTTCATGTTTAAAGAGAAAGCATGTCTTTGGGGTGGGACTCTGTGAGAGCTCCCTTGCCGTCAAAAAGCAGTTCGAATGAAAATCTCCCTGTACTAGGGAAAGAATGCTACATCAGTAGCATTAGGATTCTGGCTAATTGCACAATCATACAGCTCTTACATGCAGACAAGTCTTATATTGAGTCAAAGTACATGTTTACAATTACAAGATTAGTGGATTCAAGACTTTAATCAGGTTACCGGCAGCAATCAATCCAGCCTTTCTAGTTCCTTTTCATTTTTTTTAGTTCACTTGCATGTCTAGCTACTGTTTGTCCCATGTGCAGTCTAGGCATTCAGAAATAAAGGGTGTTTTTCATTTATCATGTTAATTAGAACTTGATAATAGCTGCCAAGTGGTAGAGGTATAAAAAATTAGGCTGAAATCATGCCAGTTTCTCTGTGGTTGGGAAGTTTAGGGATAAGTATTTACATTCTGCTATGGATAGCAAGGACAAAAATACACTGTTTCTACTTCTATTTTTCCCTATCAAGACACCTACACTGCTTTCCCTTTCTGTCTCCCAATCTTTTCTTCTACTTCCCTTTTAACTTTTCCTAGGGCTATTTTTTCTCTTATTTGCCAGACCTTCCCTGTCAAATTCTCTTTCATTTATAACACAGTTTTGCCTAATATTTATGGCCAATACTATAAAATGTGGGTTAATAATGCAACAGTATAAAACTGACACAAAACAGATGGCTACTTTAATTCTATGTTAAATAACTACTCATGAAAAATGTCTTAAATTTTCTATAACATAAAGCAGCAATAAAAAGAAAAAAAGTGTGTACAGAGTTTAAAAAATGCTAAGGGAATTGCTTATCAAAGATTTGTCATATGTTGAGTGAGTTTTAAAGATGGTCCAAGGGCCGAATTTCACATGTGACTAGCAGATAGGTGATGGGAGCATACAACACAGAACTGGACTTCTTATGGAGTAGATGGGTGGCCTGAGCTCGCTTCTTCAGGTACTTTGAAGGGTTAGAAGACTTAAATGTCTAAAGTTAGACACTTAATGAAGAGTCTTTCTTCCTAAAAGGTTGTTTAGAGAATTTATGCAGACAAGAACTGGGCAAAAGCAAGCTTGTTAGGAAGGAGACTATTGAGAAGATTTGACTAAGAGTCTTTTTTGGTGGTTGTAACACTGCATGTGACTTCACTGCAACAATGCTTTGTTCTTTGCAATTTCCTTAGTAAAAGGACAGTGCATTTAGCCTGAAGAGAGACTGAAATTCTGCAAGAACAGCTGTTGTAGCTAGTAAGTTCTTAACATGTTTGGTGCCTACCATGTGTGCTTTATCACTTCTGCACTGATAAAGCAAGTATGGGGATGCTCTTGCTTCTGACCTTTCTAACTATACTTATATGACATTTGTATACTCTGTTCCTCCGATAAATAACAGCTTTTGATTAGTATGTGAATGGATGTTAATTGCTTATTCTGTTTCTTCCTATAATGATGCTGTATGACAAACTCCTAGTTCTTGTTCAGTTCAAATGTTCAATTCACTGTTCACAATAATTAAATCCTCCAGGATGATACCACTACGGTAGAGGCTTATGCAGTACTCTGACTATTTAATATGTCATTTTTGCCTGAATAAACAAAAAATTCTACTTCTGACTGTGTAAAGCTAGTAAGTACCTTCAGATCTAAACATCAAATAAAACTAATTTTAATTCACCATTTTTTTCTGAGATTGTATGAAATGGAAGTTTGCCAAGTCATTCGGTTGCAATCTTGTAAATTTTGCTGTCAGGCTTATTTGATGACTAATGTATCTCACAGAAGAGGATTGAGGGGGAGGGAAGAAAATGCACATATAGGTTATAGTAATCATTGCCCTTATTTCTGTATTTAAGACTTTGAGCTGTGACAAATTTTAACAAAGGTATATGTTGGATTTTGCAACTAAGTCTCTGGTTTGCCTTAAAGACAAAAAAAAAAACCCCAATCCTTGGACAAGATACTCAGCTACTAACAACAAAAAAAAAACTCTATATCAAAATTGCCATAGCTTATATTTGCTATGTTTATTTTTATTGTTTTGGTATTTTCACAGAACTCCATTTTATTTTGGATTTGATCCTACCAAAATAATTGAGGAATTTGCTATCAATTTTAACAGCAAGAGAACCAAATCCTTAGTGGCCTGAAAAAGTCCACTGATAGAACAACGAACTTTTCAATCTCCCCAAACCATTAGTTTTTTTTCAGAATAAGTTAGATCTGTCTTGTAATAAATGCTGTTGCACATAACATTTCTCCAGTCCCAATCCTTTAGACGTTTGGTATTTTCTGGAAGACACTGATTTGGTTGAGCCAGACTCTCGAAGAATTTGTCACTATGCCAAATGAGAACTGTCACTAAAAACATTCTACCAACCAAATACCAAATGGCTGACTCAAAGTATGTCAGATTTGACTGTGGGTATGAAAAAATGATGTTTTTATTTAACACGGTGTTGCAACTCAAACACAGTTAAGAAGGGAGTTTTACGAATTATTATAGTAACACACTGCTGGCTCAAGGACAACTTGTTGTCCACCAATAACAAGGTCAAAGAAACAATACAAAGCACTTAAGATGTTGCTTACTTTAACTATTTCTTTTGAAACACAAAATGCTCATAAAGAAAAAAGTTTATGCCAGTGTTCTG